CTAGAAAGCTGTGGCCACGCAGGGGTGGCTGTGTGAAGCAGCCATGGCTGTTCTCAGACGTACACTATGGAGAGAAAGGAAACGAAACGGGGGTCACTGTGGTCCTTGTCTCTTCCCAGAATGGGGGGCCCTCAGAGCAGGGAGGACTGTCTCCCCAGCCCCTGCTCTGGTACAAAGTACTGACTGATAGACAGACCTACACACAGCCCATGCCCCCCACCTGTGAAGTGACCTCCCAGGAATGTTGGGAATGACTCAGGATTGTGCTGGACACTTGCCCACCAGGGAGCGGGGCCAGCAGAGGTGGGTCTGTGCAAGGCCCTTACCTTGATAGCCGGTCTGCCTGGTCATCCCCAGCCCAGAGGACAGGTCCTCCAGCTCCAGGGGCTCTGCAGAGAAGCAGCACATGGAGTTGCAAGGTGCCGACATTGCTTTCCCCCACCCCTCAGAGGTGCCCCTGCCCAGGGCCTAGGGAGCCCAGGTGAAGGTCTGTGGCTGCAGGCGTGGGAGCCAGACCAGGACTACCCCTGGCTGCGGGAGTGGAAGGCAGGCAGGGTCTGGTAAGGGGGAGGGGGGAGGCCAGAGGACTACATTTGAGTGCCCGTTATCAAACCCACTGCCGTAGAATCCACTGGCTCAGTGGCCCTCCCTAGGAGCTAACGGCCTCGTGGTTCTTCCTGGGAGCTGGTGCCTAGCCCACAGCACCCCCAGGGTGCCATAGAGGACCAGGCGGGTGGAGGGGCGGGCTCCTGTGGCAGGCCCTGCTCACCACTGCAGTCGTGGCGCCCGCGGCTCCTGGTGCGGGGGACCTCGGTGCCGTTGGGGAAGACGCACCAGCAGTAGCCGATGCTCCCATAGCACTGGAGCGGCAAGTAGTTGCCGTCCTCGTCGCACGTGGGCCTGAACGTGCCCGGGTGGGTGGCAGGGATGCGGCTGACCTCTTCCTGGCACTTGGTCAGTGCTGAAGCAACAGGCACAGTGAAGACACGGTGGGTGAATGTGTTCAGGGCCCTGGCTCGCAGCAGGCCTCGAGCTGCACGCCACTGCTGTGGGCCCAACACCTGCCCTAGTGGCTGCACTCACTCCACCCCTTGCTCAGATGTGAAAACCGAGGGCCACAATGGAAAGGAGTGACTGGCTAATTCATGCCGGCACGTAAAGATTGCTCCTAGGGCTCTCACCTCTCACCGGTTCTTAAAGTTAGGAACAGCGCCTGTGAGTCCACAGGCTAGAAAGAGCAGTGGGCCCTTGAGTGGAAATTTAAAGACAAATCTCACTCACTGCCATTGAGGGGGTGCTGACTCTGACCCTCTAGGACATTGTAGAACTGCCCCGGGGGTTCCCAAGACTTAACTATGGGAGTAGAAAGCCTTATCTTTCTCCCAGGAGCAGCTGGTGGTTTCAAACTGCTGACCTTGTGGTTAGCAGCCCACTCCACCACCAAGCTCCCCTAGGTGGAAATGGGGGCCTCCAGTTGTTAAGGACGCTGCACAGGAGGTCCTGAGACGGCATCTGGTGCCTCCTGTGAGTGTGTGATGGAGGAGACCTCGCCTTGCGGGAGACAAGTGCCCAGGGAAGAGACTCCCCTCAAAGGCGTCTAGCCAATTAAAGACAGCACTGGGTGGACCTGCCACACTCTGAGGCTTTAGGGCAAGGCTGCCCAGCACTCACTGGCTGACCTTGCTGAGGTCCCTGACCAGGCTGCCAGCAATGGCCTGCCCCTGCAAGTTGCCCGTGTGGCCCCCGTGCACAGCTCTGCCCTGAGCCCTACAGAAGAACCGTGGGGTG